AGTAGCAGCAGCAGCAGCAGCAGCAACAGCAACAGCAACAGCAGGAGTAGCAGCAGCAGCAGCAACAGCAAGAGCATCGGCAGGAGTAGCAGCAGCAGCAGCAGCAGCAACAGCAACAGCAACAGCAGGAGTAGCAGCAGCAGCAGCAGCAACAGCAACAGCAACAGCAGGAGTAGCAGCAGCAGCAGCAGCAACAGCAACAGCAGGAGTAGCAGCAGCAGCAACAGCAACAGCAACAGCAACAGCAACAGCAGGAGTAGCAGCAGCAGCAGCAGCAACAGCAACAGCAGGAGTAGCAGCAGCAGCAGCAGCAGCAACAGCAACAGCAACAGCAGGAGTAGCAGCAGCAGCAGCAGCAGCAACAGCAGGAGTAGCAGCAGCAGCAGCAGCAGCAACAGCAACAGCAAAGGCAGGAGTAGCAGCAGCAGCAGCAACAGCAACAGCAACAGCAGGAGTAGCAGCAGCAGCAGCAGCAGCAACAGCAACAGCAACAGCAACAGCAGGAGTAGCAGCAGCAGAAGCAGCAGCAACAGCAACAGCAACAGCAGGAGTAGCAGCAGCAGCAGCAACAGCAACAGCAACAGCAACAGCAGGAGTAGCAGCAGCAGCAGCAGCAACAGCAACAGCAACAGCAACAGCAACAGCAACAGCAGGAGTAGCAGCAGCAGCAGCAACAGCAACAGCAGGAGTAGCAGCAGCAGCAGCAACAGCAACAGCAGGAGTAGCAGCAGCAGCAGCAGCAGAGCAGCAGCAACAGCAAGAGTAGCAGCAGCAGCAGCAGCAGCAGCAGCAGCAGCAGCAGCAGGCGATCTCTTCTGCTCCACGCGCTGCTCCTCGGGGCGGCTCATCTCATGAACCACCACGGTGAGGCGGCTTAGGTACCAATACACACCCTCACACCCCTTCCTCCTCTCCCCCCTCACCTATAATAAGCTTCTTCTCCTCCAGCCCATGGTTGTGTACTGCGTTGGCCTTGGCTGCTGTGATCACCTGCAGAGGGGCAGAGGGGAGAAACGAAAGAGGAGGAAGAGAACAGAAATAACCAGTGGAATGACCTAAAGAGCTTATTTCTCTCGTCCAGCCCATGGTTGTGCACTGCGTTGGCCTTGGCTGCTGTGATCACCTGCAGAGGGGCAGACGGAAAGAGGGGGGCAGAGGGAAGAAAATGACCATTTCAAAACCTGATAGTGTTGTGCTCCTGGAACCAGCGTCCATCTAAGATGCCAACTAAGTTTCCCGTTTCCATCTCTCCTCATTCTTAGTCTCATTCCATCTCATTCTCTGCTAAAACCAGGGTATTAGAAGTGCGCTTGGTGCTGCTTGCTAACGACCTGCATGAGCGAGCGCGCAGATGTGTAAAAGGTGAGTTTTATAGACGTCTCAAAAACCTGCATGAGTGAGCGCGCAGATGAGCAACTGTCACATTCACCGTAGTCACACCTCAACATTGTCACATCTCACCTTAGTCACATAGTCACATCCCACCTTAGCGACTGTCTTAGCAGCGCGCTTGGTGGTGACAGACAGCCATCTGCATGAGCGCATCGTCTGGCGTCATCCCCCGCACCATTGCTTCCACCAGGTTGACCTCCCTCACACATCACCTTACTCACATGGTCACATCTCACCTCCATCCCACCTCCCGCGGTCCCACCTCTCACCTTAGCCACGGTCTTGGCCACGGTCTTAGGGGCGCGCTTGGTGCTGACAGCCAGCCATGTGCATGAGTGACTGTGACCGTGCTGTCAGGTTGGCACCCTCAGGGTGAGCGACTGCCACTCTCAGCCTGGTCACATCTCACCTCCATCCCACCTCCCTCCTTGCACATCTCCTCACTCCCATCCCACCTTGGCAACTGTCTTAGCAGCGCGCTTGGTGCTGACTGCCAGCCATCTGCATGAGCGCATCGTCTGGCGTCATCCCCCACACCATTGCTCCCACCAGGTTGACCTCCCTCACATCTCACCTCCATCCCACCTCCCGCGGTCCCACCTCTCACCTTGGAAACCGTCTTAGCGGCGCGCTTGGTGCTGACAGACAGACAGCCATCTGCATGAGTGACTGTGAGCGCGCTGTCAGGTTGGCACCCTCAGCCATCTCACCTGCTGTCAGGTTGGCACTGGTGATCGAGCGACTCCCACCCTCACCTCTTTTGAGTCGACTGAAAAGTCACTTTGCTGACAGCCATGTGCATGAGTGACAGCCATCTCACCTGCTGTCAGGTTGGCACTGGTGATCGAGCGACTCCCACCCTCACCTCGGTCACATCTCACACCCACCCCCCCTCCCCTCCCACCCTACACACCTCTCGCCTCACTACCGTCCGACCTTGGCAACCGTGTTGGCAGCGCATTTGGTGCTGACAGGACAGCCATTTGCATGAGTGCACCATGGTCAGGGTGGCACTCACCAGTGAGCAAACATCTGCCAGTTTGTGAGTCGACTCAAAAACAGCATCGTCAGGGTCAGGGTGGCACGCACCACCCTCACCTTGGTCACATCTCTCCTCCATCCCACCTCCCACCTTGCACACCTCTCACATCTCACTTCTCACCTCCATCCCACCTCCCACCTTGCACACCTCTCACATCTCACTTCTCACCTGCATCCCACCTCCCACCTTGCACACCTCTCACATCTCACTTCTCTCCTCCATCCCACCTCCCACCTTGCACACCTCTCACATCTCACTTCTCTCCTCTCACCTTAGCCACCGTCTTAGCAGCGCGCTTAATGCTGACTGCCATCTGCATGAGCGCATCGTCTGGGGTCATCCCCCGCACCATGGCCGCCACCAGATTCACCTTCTTGGGACCCTGGGAGGAGGAGGGTGGGGGGATGGGAGAGGAGGGGGAAAGGGGGGAGGGGAGGAGTCTCAAGGCATCGTCTGGGGTCATCCTCCGCACCATGGCCGCCACCAGATTGACCTTCTTGGGACCCTGGGAGGAGAGAGAAGAGGAGGGGGGGAGTGTAGGGGAACCTATTCTGGCGTCATCCCCCGCACCATGGCCGCCACCAGATTGACCTTCTTGGGACCCCGGGGGACCGGAGAGAGGGGAATGAGGGAAACCGGGGGAGGCTTTCATGTTGAAGTGCCTCAAAGCATCGTGTGGCGTCATCCCCCGCACCATGAGACGTCTCAAAACACTTCTTCAATCACGTGGCCATCATCGTGTGGCGTCATCCCCATCAGCACCATTGCCGCCATCAGATTCACCTTCTTGGGACCCTGTGAACAGCCAGGAAATGGGAAAGGGGGGAGGAGGGGGAGGAGAATACGGGAGGAGTCTTCTTTTGTGCCTTATAGGCACACCAGTTGGCGCCATGCTATGATGAACATGGTGGCATCCATGGTGCGAGGGATGGCATGGTGCGAGAGATGGCATGGTGCTACTCTCTGGTGTGTTCAGAGTCGACTCAAAACACGCCATGCTATGGTGAACATGGTGGCACCCATGGTGCGAGAGATGGCATGGTGCTATTAAGCGGAGAGCCATTCTACCTGGCCGGCCCCAGAAGTACGTACCTGTTTGATCGCGTCAATACCACACTTTACCGCACTGTACCTGTTTGAGCCCTGCCAGAACGGCGCGAACCGTGCGACCAGTGGGCGACGCCGGCGACAGCGGCGACGCGCCTGCAACGAGCGGCGACACCACCGGAGCGCCGGACGTCGGAAGCAGCGTGGAAGCCGGCGGCTGCGCCTTCTCCCCACTCGCTCCGCTCGCTGCCACGTCAGCAGCCGCAGCAGCCGCAGTGGTGGCGGGAGATGAGTGAAACGTTGAGAATGATACGGCTCGAGCGGCGATTGCTGCGGGAAAGACTAGGTACGGTGGTGTCAATCCATGATGAAATGAACCGTTGGATCGGTGCCACGTGTCACCGGGAGATGCTTCGCCGATGCTAAACCCGCAGCTAATGGAGGAGCTCGTTCTGGTGACGGCGGGATCGATCGAAGTACAGCAAATGCTGGGCTCGTGAGGATGTCTGGTAGCGAGGACGGCACTAGCGGGGACAGGGGTAGACGAAGGCGCAGATGAGGCGGCGTGTGATCGTCTGAGGCAGTGCCGCAACGCCCCCGCGGCTGAGCGGAAGTGGCGCGACACCGATCCGCTCATGGCTCCAAGCTGTAGTCGCAACAGAGAAATCCTAGCTGTATGAAATAGTGCTATTGTTTTATATTGATTGATATTAACCTACTCATTCGTGCTGACATCCGTTGTAGTCTAGTTGGTTAGGATACTCGGCTCTCACTCGAGAGACCCGGGTTCAGGTCCCGGCAACGGAACTTTTCGTTTCTCGGTCTCTACGGCTGACATGCTTGCTTTAGTTTTGGCGTGATTAGACGAGGTTATTGTCACGGCTACTGTTCTTGCGTCGCCGCAAACGACGGCCGACATTGCAACCGTTCTCAGTTATGGAGGCCCACTACTTTGTAGCTTCCTCACTCTGACCTCGTCGCTTGAGCGATGTCAGGCATAATGACGACAGCATGCGTTCGTCAGATGCCACTGTCGCATTCCCTAGCACCACATTCGCGTCGGTCGCACATCGTTGCATACGCTCGTCTGCGATCGTCGCCGGCCGTCGCATACCGAAATCTCACGCCATTGCCATTGCCGCCATTGCCTCTCGCGCTCAGCCTTCACCTCCCGTCGGCTAGTCGGCAATATCACGCCCATTCCGTTTCATTCTCGAGGATTCTAAAGCATGACGCCAGTCTGACGACTTCCGTTTTCAAGCGCGCCTATAGTCAGGCAAATCAACTCATCCGTCAGTTACCTTCCCATCATCTCTTCTCCCTTCATTCCTTTCCTTGCTTCGTCCCGTCAGCCTTCTCTCCCACCGCCGCCGCCGTCGCCGCCTCCGCTGCCTCCCCCTCCTCCCCCGCCTCCTCCGCGCCTTCCTTCACTATAAGCACATCCGTAACCTTCCACTCGGAGATTAAACGGAGTCGCTTCGTGACGGTAGCAGTGCCAGTGGGGTCTGCAGAGGAGGCGATGCGCGTGTTGGATGAGGTGAGAGGGGAGAGATGAAGGGGGGAGGGGGAAGACAAGAGGGTAGAGGTGAAGGGACATGGAGGGAAGTGAAGTGGGGACGAGGTACAGGCGCCAGTGGGGTCTGCAGAGGAGGCGATGCGCGTGTTGGACGAGGTGAGAGGGGGGAGGGGTGAGGGAGGAGGGCAGAGTGGGAGAGAGGATAGGGAGACTATGTAGGGGAGTGGGGAGTGGGGAGAGGGGAGAAGGGTGAGGGGAGAGGGGAGAGGGGAGAGGGGTGAGAGGAGAGGGGAGAGGGGAGAGGGGAGAGGGGAGAGGTGAGAGGGGGATTTAGGAGGGGACAATTCGCATGCATTGAAATTTCTGTGTTTCCTGTTGACCGCCTTATGGAGCCTCTTGTTTCTATGTTTGGCTACTCCGGCTTGCCCTCTTCTGACTTTTGAGTCGACTCAAAAGTCAGCTCGCTACTCCGACTTGCCCTCTTCTCCTCGCTCGCTCCACACCACCAGGTCAAGGATCCGTCCGCCAGTCACAACTGCTGGGCGTACAAGGTCAGATGTTGTGCGTGTTACACTCAGGAGTTGGTTGTTCCCTTGCCTTACTTTACCTATTTGACGTACTTGAGGAAACTGACTTAGTTGACTTTCTTGATTCACTTGACTTGGTATGGCACTCGGAATTCATATGTCTGCAAAAGTTGGTACACTGCTCAAGTTCGAACAATAACGCATTTCCACCAGCGAGGCAGCCTATTCCATATGTTCAGGATGCTTGACGGTAACATCTAGGCAGCTCATTCTACCATCCAGCTTAACAGATATATCTCAAGGTAAGCCTCCTCTCCCTCTATATCCAATTCATATTCTATCTCTGCATCCTATCCCCATTCTTTATCTCCCACGCAGATCTCTCCGGCATACCGTTTCAACGATGACGGGGAGCCGGGAGGAACAGCCGGGCGGCCGATTTTGGCAGCTATTGAGGGGGCTGGAGTGGATGGTGTCATGGTGATGGTAACCAGGTAACCAGGTAGAGAGTAACACCCCTGCGTGAGTAGTGCCTTACGCAATTCATATTGGCTTGTGCGTTCCTGCTTCTTTATAAGCAATGCAGAAGATTTTACAACTCTTCTACAATAACTCACTGGGAGGGGAAGAAGAATGCCTGATGCTGGCGAATCCTTCCATCCGTGCTCCATTCCCAGTTTATGCATGCTACGGGAGGGAAAAGCTTGGAACGGACATGTGCTTTGCTCGCTTCCTTCCCAAACTGTAGGTACTATGGGGGAGTGAAGCTAGGAACAGGAGGTCTCGTGAGGGCATATGGAGGAGCAGCAGCAGGAGCACTGCGAGAAGCCACCCTTGTTCCAGTCTTGCGAAAGGTGTGATTATCTCCCACCCAGGTATGTGTGTCGAGCCAAAGGGTTCTCCTGAGAGATCGGCATATGCAACACCAAGGTGCATCCATCTCTCACCCAGGGATGTATGTTGTGCCAGACGGGGTTGGAGGAAAGATTGCTTCTGAAGCGCCTCAGAAGTCGTTGTCTGTATTGCTCTGTTCCTCTTATGACAGGTGGCTTTTGAGGTGCCTCTGAAGTAAACTATTTTCATGTGTCTCAATATGTTTCTCTCATGGCAGGTGGCCCTCAACATAGTTGCGCCAGTGCACCACGTTGGACTTCTCTACTCTGTGGTATGTACACATGCACTATATTGCAACGAGTGCTCTATATTGTAACAGTTTCATTTCTGCTGGTGCTGTACAATCCATGCGCTCATCTGCATTCCCAATTTCCAAACATTTGTAACCCGTTTCTCACCTCTTATGTCACCCGTTTTTGCCTCTGCAAATTGTAACGTCGCCCAGCTTCAACATCCTGAATACGCGATTGAGAGATTATCTGAAAGGTATCGTGAAAGTGAGGATGGACAAGGCAGTGTAGTTGAGCTTCAGGTTATGGCTCTTGCAGACAATGTTCCCAAGCTTCAAGATGCATTGTCGGATACCCTGAGAGGAGATGTGTTGGTAACGAATGGAGATTAATAGCTGAGAAAAGCCCTTAGGAACTTTCAGGACTAAGATCGGGTATTGATATACAGATGTAATAGTGGAAGCGGTTAATGAAGAGTTGTCGTGAACCACCTTGTACTAGTGTGTGAGAACAAGATAAGTTGATAATAGCAGAGAAGTACAAGGCTTTTATATGATTACAAAGGAATATTGAAAGTTCTATTTTAACTGTTTTTGTTGTTGCGGTTCGATACAGTGCCGACTCGGGTAACTGCTCTGTAACGAGTCAGTTATGTGTCCTTGCTGTCGCACTGTGCGTTTCGTCAGGTCAAAGGTCGGAGACCTTTGACCTTCGCGCAACCTCTGACGGTTGCTTTGGTTGACTCGAGTGCTTCTTCGCTGTAGTCAGTTCCGTTTTTGTGTCTAAGCTTCGATACGACAGAAGCGTTATATATCACTTGTTTCCAACACTCCCCTTCGCTTCTGGAGGATCGTTGCTAATGACGTGTCCTTGTCCAGTCAGCAGCATGCAGTACTCGAACTTCTGTTTTCCGAGTTTCTTGGTCAAGTAGTCAGCTGCCATCTCGGATGTGGGACAGTAGGATAGTTCGAGTCTTCCCTTTTCGATCTCGTCTTTCACGAAGAAGTACCGAAGGGCGATGTGCTTCGTTCGATTCGCGAACCCGTTTTTGTTCGCTATGCGGATGGCCGATTGGTTGTCGCAAAAGAGAGAGAAATTGGGTAACTAGGCCAGTTTTGCTTCCTCCAGTAGTTCGCGAAGATATAGTCCTTCCTTGGTTGCTGAGCAGAGTGCGATATATTCTGCTTCTGCTGACGAGAGAGCGATTAGCTCTTGCTTGTTCGACTGCCATGAGATAGGCCCGATCGGTTCGAGTCTGTAGATGTAGCCGGTTCGAGACCGTCTGTTGTCGAAATCTCCAGCGTGATCGGCGTCGACATAACCGATTAGTTTAGGTGTTGCGGTGCTGGTCTTGTAGTAGGTGAGGCCGATCGTCGGAGTGCTGACGAGATAGTGAACCGCTCGGTCAAGTTCGAGCATGTGTTCTGCTTCAGGTTTCTTGAGGTAGGTAGCAAGTTGGCTAGCTGAGTAGGATAGATCCGGTCGACAGGTGACGGCTGCGAAGAGTAGGCAGCCTAGTTTCCTTTGGTAGTCGCGGATGCCAGCAGGTTTGAGTAGGGCTGAGCCTTTTCGATTTCCATCGGTGTAGCGGTATGGTGTGGAGATAGCCGTTGGGATGAGTCCGAAGCGTTTAGCAATAGTATCCGTATATTTAGCAGCGCTGAGGTAGATGGCACCGTCGCCGTCTTCGATGTTCAGTCCTAGGTACTGCGTCACGGTGGTTGCGACGGTGAGAGTTAGATCTCCCTGCAGCTCCCCTTCAAACCATGTCGTCACAGTGTCGGTGGAGCCTATGTAGAGAAAATCATCGACGTAGACGATAAGTAGGATGTAGTCGGTGCCTTTCGTCAGTCGATACATTCCTTGGTCGTGTGGTAGCTGAAGAAATCCGATGCGAATTAGGCAGGCGTAAAGGTGCTGCTGCCATAGTCTCGGGGCTTGCTTAATCACGTACAGTGACTTCTCCAGTTGACAGATTTGGTTGGGGCCTGCGTTGGATCCGTGTGGGAGTTCAACGCAGATCTCATCGTCGACGGGGGCGTAGAGGAAGGCGTTGGCGACATCAATTTGTCGAAGCTTCTTTCGGTTCATGGCGGCGATTGCGAGGAGAATCCGCAGTGAGGTATGTCAGCTTACTGGGGCGAATGTTTCCGTGAAGTGTCGCCCTTGCTCTTGGTCGAAGCCCCGCACGACCCAGCGTGCTTTGAATTTGTCGATTGTTCCGTCGGCTTTCGTTTTCACGAGGAAGACCCATTTTTCGGTGAGGATAGTTTTGTTGCGTGCCAATTCGATAGGCACGACTTTCCAGGTGTTGCGTTCCTGCAGCGCCTTCAATTCCTTGTCCATGGCTTCACGCCATTTTTCCCTGTGTTCCCCCCCCAGAGCCTGCTGAATTGTCGCAGGCTCCTTAGGTGGTTCCGCTCCGTGGACGGCGGTGACAAGTCTCAGTATCTGCAGACCACTCTGTGTGTAGCGGGGGAGATTTGTGTCCTCTAGATAAGCTGCTTCGTCTCCTGCTTCGGGGTCTGGTAAGAAATTTGGTCCTATGCGTTCGGAAATGTTGGTGTCGACCGGTTGAGGTGTAATATAACCGGTGTCGGCGAAGTCGAAATAAGTTTCGGCGTTGACACTTTCGCGAGGATTTTCGTCGTCCATCGGGATAGGCACGGAGCAGTATGGGAGTGGTCCTGCTTCTTCAGATGCGTTGTCCACGTTTTGCTCGTCCCAGTCAGCTTCGTCTGCTGCTGAAGCAAAGGCTCGGTTGCCACGGAAGCCGCCCGTGAGGTCTCGATTTGCTGCCAGGTTGTCCAGGTACGTTTGAAGTGTGAGTCGTTCGTAGAAGATGACATCACGTGCTGCCACTGTTTCCTTCGAGTGGACGTCAAAAATCTTCCATGCGTTGTAGTGCTTTTCGATGCCCAGGTGTAGTCCCCACTGTGCTCGTTGAGAAAATCTTCCAGCTCTTGCAGTGTGTGGGCGATACTGTACCATGCACCCGAAGACTCGTAACATTTTTGTGTTGCCCAACTTTCCTGTCCACAGCAGGTGCGGTGATGCGTTGTTCGGAAGTGACGACGATGAAAGCAAGTTGTGCAGCATGACAGCGTGGTCCATCGCCTCAGGCCACTGGTGATTGGGCAGTCGCACGCCACGCAGCAATTTGCGCATGGTGTTATGGAGAGTTCTGTTCATCCGTTCTGCCACGCCTTGCTGTTGATGGGCGTAGGGAAGCGAAATGAGTCGCTTGATGCCTCGTGTTGCGAGGTACTGCCTGAACCTTTGGGACTGATATTCCCCTCCTCCGTCAGACTGGAAGCTTTTCAGCTTTGTGCCCGATTCTCGTTCTGCCACAGGTAGCCAGGCGACGAAGGCTTCGAAGGCCATATCGCGACTTGGAAGATTAAGGTGCCAGACGTAACGGGTGGCGGCGTCGATGAAAGTGATTATGTAATTATATGCGCCTTGTCCTTGTTCGCGAGTATACAGAATGTCGCTGTATACTTTCTCGAGTGGTGCATAAGCTGGCGCACTTGGATTGTGGTGAGAGGTGAACGGTTGATGCGATAAGTCGGCTTCGGGACAGGTAAAGCATGTTCGCGGACTCGTTGGAGTTCTCTGCCGTCGGGTAGAAGGAGTGAGTCCTTGTCGAGCACTACTGCCTTGATTGTGTTGTTTAACGTGGTGTTGCTTGGATGTCCTAGTCGTTCGTGCCACAGGGACTCACTTGCACGATGTCCGGGTGAGCGCCTATACAATTCGGAGTTGGAGTAAAAAGTGGCGGTGAAGCTGGCGCTTCTGTGAACTTCTCGTGGAGTGGGAGCTAACTGTTGCGCAGAAGTCGGTGGAGTGTCGTCGATGGGTGGTGATGCCGTCGAAGAGCTCGCGATTGGTGTTGTAAGTGTTGTGGGTGTTGCCAATGTTGTCTCTGCTGTTGTCGATGTTGTTGCTTCTTGTCGGATTGTTGCTAATACCTGTGTTCTTTCTGCTTCAGGTATGGTATGTGAATACCAGAACCCTCCGGGGCTGAAGTCAGGATCGAGGTCCGGTGGGTGCGTCCAGGAGGTGAAGTTGACGATGCCGTCGCTATCGGCCGTTCCTTGATCTGGTACAAAGTCGAGGACGAAGACGTTGTTTTTTAAGACTGCTCTGCCGATGTAGAGCCCTCCTCGACTGTGGAAAAGCTTGAACTCCTGTGTGGTACTGTCTGCTTCAAGATGGATCCCCTTCGCCATCAGTTGGCTGACGCTCAGTAAGTTGTAGCCAAGTCCTTCTGCAATCAACACTTTAGACATTTGCAAGATGACGTTAGTCTCTCGGGATTGAAGTTGTACTACGCCTTGTCGTCGTGTGTGCAGGTTCTGGTTGTTGGCCACAGTGATGACGACTTCGCGCTGAAGTTGATGCTCTTGTTGGACGAAACGGCTCGAGGAACACATGTGTTGTCCGCAGCAACTGTCCAAAAACCAGGTGTCTTGCCCAGACGGCTCGCTTTGGGCGATAGCTGCATATGTTGGATTGGGCTCCAGTGACTCGCGGCGGGGAGTCCTTTCATCAAGTTGGTCTTCTTGTGAGTAGTAGGGTGGTGATCTGGTGATGCAGGAGTCCGTCGTTCTTGTCATGCAGCTAACGATATTTCTTGTTCCTTGTGCAGATTGCGATGTTGAAGATGTTGAAGTTTGCACTTGACTGGCGGGATGCGTCTCCGTGGAAGTTACTTGGCTGCTTGAAGGCCGAAGTTGACGTTGCGGTGTTGTCGACTGCTGCTGATTCGGGCAATGTGTGCGCGGATGACCGGACGTCTTGCAAAGGTGACAAAACGGTGGGACGTACTGTTGTACTTGTCGATTATTGTGTTGGTTGTTGTTGTTGTTGTAGCGTCGTTGAGTATGGAAGGCGAACTCCGGTGCTAATGCTTTCTTCTTGTGTCGTTCTTCGTGCAGATCCATGTCTTGCTGTTCAGCGTGGATTTCAGCGCAGAGTGCTGCTTCAGAGATTTTCCCGTGAGCTCGAAGAAGTGCTTGAGTGGAGCGCTAATGAGGAC